AGCAGGACGATGGCTTGGATACAGCAAAGCCCACCTGGTGAGCGAGAGCTTGGGTCCGTCGCGCTCTTCGCACCGTGGCTGGCGATGCGGTCAAGTGATGGATGGTGGTGGTTGCAAAGAAGCGAAGGTCTTGATCTCCTGCTGATCGTGTGGGTATGCGCGGTTGTCTGAATCGGCTGGAGCAATTCATGATGGGCAAGGGGGGACACATTGCTGCTGGTGGTGTCAGCCCATCAGCCGCGACTGCACCAGACGCGTTGACACCGTGACTGCCAAGCTTGGGAATTCAGGGCATTCCTCAGCACATCAAGGCTCCGCGACACTGGTAGTACCAGCCTGTGACTGTCATCTGCAGCAGCACCGTTTTCTTAACCGCTACCGCGCATCGACTCATGCGCAGCAGTGCAGGCGGTCCATGGCGTGCCCCTGCCCGCCACTGGCCCCATGAGAGGCTACTCTGTTCGCCGGTAACACAGGCCCTGGGCCGATCAGAGCAATCCAGCGATCTGGTCTTCAACGCACAAATCGGGTCGGAATTGCGAGCTGACTGCTTTCATAAATCAAATGTTGTGAGACAGATGCTCTGTCAGGCTGAACGTCTCAGCGATCAGCATCTGCAGCGTGACTGCCGACAGTGTGGATGCTCACATGAGGCTCACACCACCAAGCGGTCGTTCATTTGATCCGGTAGCGGCTTGCGCACACACACTATCATAACACGAAAAGAAACATCTCTGACGAATGTTTATCTGGGACAGTGGGCCAACTCTTGGGTATGTAGACAATTTGCGGTTGGGCGCGCAGTCAGGCACGTGCGTGTGATCGTGTGAATGCATGCGTGCGTGCGTGCGTTTGTGTGTGTATGCGTATGTGTGTGTGTGAATGCGTGCGTGCGTGCGTGCGTGCGTGCGCGTGCGTGCGTGTGTGTGCCCGAACGCTCGCGTACACACGCATCTACGCGCATGTGGCCATGTGTGCAAGCATGTCCGCATGCGCAAGTGTCGGAGGGGTTGGCAAAATTGAACATCACTCAAGACTGCGGCGCTGCAGCAGCCTTCATGTTGCAATCTATCAACTGCTGCAGTGTCAATGAGCCTCGCCTGAAGCCAAGTACCCCTGCTTAGTGACGCCTGTGTGTGGCAGTGGGCTGACCACCCTCCACTCCCCCAGAGCCAAGCAACCACCACAGCCGATACAGCACACTGCATGGTGCTCGTGGGAGTGGGGTCAAGCAGCAGAGAACTTATCTTTGGTTTACATATGAGACCTGCCTGCCTCTGGTGTGATTGTCTTACACGTGAGACGAGCTCCTTCTGCATCCAAGTCAAAAGATGTGTCTTGCGAGTGCGACTGGCCAGCAGCACCAGACAAATTTGCAGTCTGATAAGCAATCGTGACAGCCAAGACTGTGTGCGCCACGTTGGCTTGCTTCACCCACCCTTCCGATACCAGGACCCCCCGCCCCCTTCCCCCACCCTGTGCAAAAGTACGCGGTTCCCTGTCGTGCTGCCCCCCCCCTCCTTTGAGCGCACAGTTTTCATGCCACTGCCCTCCATGCGTGATCGCACTGGCCGTCTCTCGTGATTACTTCGCACTTGCCCTTGCCATGTGCGCCAATGGGATGCGGCGCCAACCTCTCGCAGCACACAGCTGCACCAATTGACTCGTCACGACAACACCGGCGCCAGGGGCCTACCGACCCTGCGCCGATGGCGATGGTGACCGAGGGAGGAACGGGGCGATGTCGGTGCCCTCCGCCCGCCGCGCAATGAAGAAGGACCCCTTGTCGCCCTTGCTGATCTGCAGGCCGCGCGGCGGGCGCGACGCCGTGAGGTGGCGCGCCGTGGTCCGGTGGGGCTAGGGGCGGAGGAAAGCGCTATGGGCGTCAGGCTATCAGGGCAGCGTGAGGAGTCGCGCAAAGCGTGCGACAACACACGGCGGCCAACGGTGCGAGAGCAGGGCGCGTGTGCACCATGCCGACCGCCCTTATCCCGCGTGCAGCTTCCCTTGGCATGCATGCTCAAGGCAATGAGGCGCCCACCCGCAGGTCGTGATCCAGGTACAGCGTGTCAATGTAGCCTGTCGGCGCAAACGCGCCGATGGGGAACGGGATCCTAGAGACAGGGGAACAAAAAGGTGCGGAAGGGGTATGAGATGAGCGGCCACCCAACAACTGTAGCGGCGACCCACATCAAGGAGGTTGCCTTGAAATCACTCACGCATGCGCCTGCCCCACTGCCGCATTCTTGGGGCCACTGTGGCGGCCGCCTGGGGAGCCACCCACCGCACAAGCTTGCCCCAGCGCAGCTCCGCTGCTGTGAAGGTTGCCACCAGCCGGGTGCCGTCTGCGCTGCCCTCGATCCGAGCCGGCCCATCCACCTGTATAGTGCCCTGCATGCGCCGCGCCCCACATACACATGATGAAAAGTTTTTGGCAGCCTCAAAGGCGCGAAAGCAGCGAAAGTAGCGGCCTCGTGCGTTACCCCTGACTGAGCGCGTGTGATACATGGGATCCAACAACGTTGGACCGGGGCTGCAGCAAGGAGACTGCTCGCAGGGCAGCTGCCCACCTCCTGCCCCAGCACTTGAAACTTGGCCTGGTTGGAGACCCTGCAAATATGCGGGCGTGGCGCCCCGAGACAAGCGGACGAATTAGCATCCGAGCTGATCAGAGAGCCTTCACGTGCTTGTGCGCGCTTGTGCAAGGCTTGAAGAGCCGGTCACGCACACAGGCAAGTGTTCCGACGTGTCTCGCGCCCAAGCGGCCCAAAGTGCATGCTGCATCCCTGGCGAGCCCACCAGCCCTGCCGCGTGTCAAATATCTGGAACTGGCCCCGCGCCTTAACAGCCTTCCGGCTGTCGGCCTTGCGCCCAACCGCGCTGCCGGCCAGGATTGGGGCGTACCTGGGGAGGCAGGGGTGGGGGAGAGAGAGGGGGCAGAGGGGCTTAGGGCATGAGGGTTTGGGGCCAGCTGGCGGCAATGAAGGCTCCCCTGCCGCCATTGGGGAGCCGCGCCCGCCGGGCCAGCGGCACGCCCACGCCGGCCCCGTGGGTGCCCGAACGCACACCCAGCAGGAGCGTGCAGCGCCGGTGGGCCGTGGCTGCTTGCAAACCTCCCCCTGCCCCTGTGCCGCACATAGTCATCAGCCCGAGGCGAGCTTGTCAGGGCACTCAAACACAGGCAGAGTATCCCCAGCCGCGGTCGGGCGCGGGAGGGGCGGGGCTGCCCCTCGCAACAGACAGCCGAGGCGCTGCCACGCGAGGCGGTGGCTGGCCCCAACCCACCGGCCCCCCTCCCAAAAGCGGCCTCACTTGTAGGAGACATCATAGCTTGCGGCCATGGCTTGCTGGAGTGCGGAGCGCTCCACATCACCCTTGGGCTTGCCCGGCAGAGTGTAAAGCAGTGCCCAACTGCCAAGTGGATCAAGAGCAGCACGAGTGGGGCCGCAAGAACTGTGGAGGGCAGGCTGGGAGCCCCTGGCATGGGGTGGGTGCCGTGCGCCACATGCATCTGCAACCGCTATCTCATGACTTAAATGCAGGCACATCGGCAAGGACCGCGGGGCAGCCAGGGCGGGCGGCGGCGGCCGCTGCATCGTCGCATCGGCGGGCGCGCACGTGGTGTTGATGAGCGGCGACTCTGCAGGCCGCGGCGTGGGGGTGAGCGCTGCCAGCTGGTCGATCAGCTGCAGCAGCTGCTTCTGCAGGGCTGGATCGTCCGTCTCTGCACTGCCATTGAGCCTGAGGGGGTGCAGGGGGTGCGGCCGGCGCATCGAGCATTGTTGGTGCCGCACGGCGATGGCAGCTGGTGCTGCGTTGGGTTGGTGGGGACCCAGGCCAACCTTGTGACGAGCTGCACGATCTGCGCCTTGATCACATCCTGGGTGGTCGAAGGAATTTGCGGCCTGGAGGCCTGTAAACAACAAGGCAGCGCTGGTATTGTGATCACATGATTTTGTAGATGGCAGAGGCTGCGCAAGCGCACACAAAGGCGTGCATCTCAGGCATGATGACTTCGCATCTGTATGTACATTTTTCATGCAAACCTTTAGCCACCCAAGAACTCCAGCCTTGCGTGTTGCTCACCTGTTGTGCGCACACGCAGCAGCGACGCCTCCATGCAGCGGTCGCGTGTGACACGGGCGCCTCCAGGCAGCGTGGTCGTCTGCGCGTTGCACTAATCCTACCAGCCGTGTGGTTTGTCCTGCTGATCATTGCGAGCCTGGCGTAGCCTCTCAGCGAAGACTACCGGTAAGCAATAGATCCTCCGCGTGGTTTGGCTCGCAGAATCGAAAGCTCAGTTGGAAGAAGAAGTTTGTGTTTGACTTGAGGGCTGGGCAAAGAACACGAGCTCACCGGAGCTTGCCAACCAGCTGCTAGGGATGCAAAGTAACTGTGGTGACACAGCCTGGGTGACGTGACATGGATCAGACTGCAAGGGCCAGGGACCTCCGAATGGCACTCAATCCACTGAATCCTTGAGTAGGGGCAGGGATACCCCTCTCGCTTTGGGCACCCTGCTGCTTGCCACACACTTGCCGCCACACACCCCCAGTACGACGGTGACGGCCGACTACGAGGTACTTGTGGTGCACTCGCTCAGCTCCATACAGACTTGCACTTTACCATCCCAGTAAGTTATGAGATCATCACCGTGACTGTCACTGGTTTAAGAGTCTCCATTAATCCAATCAGCTACTCCCTGGGTCAGCTACTCCCTGGGTGGTGCAAACCCCGCAAGGCGCAATTGGCAGCACATAACTTTGGTACACAAGTTACAGGCAGTCACCGAGAGGTGATGCAAAGTACAAGAGGCGGACTTGGGATTAACCCATGCATGAGCGATGCCAGGCACTTCACAGTGCGCCGGCTGCACCCTCGCATCCCTTAGCAGCCGCCGCGCAGGCGCAGCACCAGGTGGAGGGTGGACTCCTTCTGGATATTGTAGTCGGCCAGGGTGCGGCCGTCCTCCAGCTGCTTGCCAGCGAAGATCAGGCGCTGCTGGTCCGGAGGGATGCCTGGAAAGCGGGGAAAGCAGGGGGGGGGGCGCTAAGTGACATGCTGCAGCCGTGCAAAGACAAGCCGCAAGAGTATTAGTAATGGGACGGGTCAGCTGAGTACAGTATATTGCGCACACGTGCATGTGGCACATGACCCTGTTCCGAAAGCTAAATCGCCAGCCATCCACCATTATGCAGTAGTGCAGGCTCAGCACAACCTGCCAGGCATTCATGAGCACTTGCTGCCGCAGTGCCCCTGGAACTACACCAGTAGCAACATTGCGTCCAGCCATGCGGCAATGCTGGCCGACTCTTTGAGTAACTCACCCTCCTTGTCCTGGATCTTGGACTTGACATTCTCAATGGTGTCACTGGACTCCACCTCCAGGGTGATGGTCTTGCCAGTGAGGGTCTTGACAAAGATCTGCATGCCACCGCGCAGGCGCAGCACCAGGTGGAGGGTGGACTCCTTCTGAATGTTGTAGTCGGCCAGAGTGCGGCCATCCTCCAGCTGCTTGCCAGCGAAGATCAGGCGCTGCTGGTCCGGAGGGATGCCTGGAAAACGGTGACGGGGAGGGGGCCACTAAGTGACATGATGCAGCTGCGAAGCAAAGACAAGCGACAAGAAAAAGCGCGGCCACCATCTTGTGCAAATGTGCAAGCTCAGTGCGACCTGCCATGCGGGCAAAAGCACATGCACGCGGCTCCCACCGCGCCGCCTATCCACTAGCGAACGGCGTCCAGCCATGCTGCAATGCTGGCCGACTCTTTGAGTAACTCACCCTCCTTGTCCTGGATCTTGGACTTGACATTCTCAATGGTGTCACTGGACTCCACCTCCAGGGTGATGGTCTTGCCAGTGAGGGTCTTGACAAAGATCTGCATGCCACCGCGCAGGCGCAGCACCAGGTGGAGCGTGGACTCCTTCTGGATGTTGTAGTCGGCCAGGGTGCGGCCATCCTCCAGCTGCTTGCCAGCGAAGATCAGGCGCTGCTGGTCCGGGGGGATGCCTGGAAAGCGGGGAAGGGAGGGGGGGAGGGGGGCGCTGAGCAACATGCTGCAGCTATGTAGCAAAGACAAGCCACAAGCAATAGCGATGGCCACTGCGACAGGCCAGCTGAGCATGGTGGATTGTGCATGCTTGCAAGTGGCACCCAATCCTGTTCCAACCTATGAATAGCCGGCCATCGGACAACATCTGACAACATGCAAAAGCGCGGCTCAGCAACTGCTGGCATGAGCACATGCACGCTCACCCTCCTTGTCCTGGATCTTGGACTTGACATTCTCAATGGTGTCACTGGACTCCACCTCCAGGGTGATGGTCTTGCCAGTGAGGGTCTTGACAAAGATTTGCATGCCACCGCGCAGGCGCAGCACCAGGTGGAGGGTGGACTCCTTCTGGATGTTGTAGTCGGCCAGGGTGCGGCCGTCCTCCAGCTGCTTGCCAGCGAAGATCAGGCGCTGCTGGTCCGGAGGGATGCCTGGAAAGCGGAGAAAGGGGAGAGGGGGGGGGGGGGGTAACTAACATCCTGCAGCCATGTGGCACAGACAAGCTATAAGAAGTAGCAATGGCCACCCTGACGCGCCAGCCGAGTACATGGCGCATGTTTGCATGTGGCACACGTTTCTGTTTTATACAGCTGAGCCAGCCGTCCAGCAACAAGCACTGGTGGCTCGGCATAATTGGCCAGGTGCGCACACAGCTGCCGCCATGCCACTGGAACCACTAGCAACATACGTCCAGCCATGCTGCCCTGCTGATCAACTCCTCAAGTCACTCACCCTCCTTGTCCTGGATCTTGGACTTGACATTCTCAATGGTGTCACTGGACTCCACCTCCAGGGTGATGGTCTTGCCAGTGAGGGTCTTGACGAAGATCTGCATGCCACCACGCAGGCGCAGCACCAGGTGGAGGGTGGACTCCTTCTGGATGTTGTAATCGGCCAGGGTGCGGCCGTCCTCCAGCTGCTTGCCAGCGAAGATCAGGCGCTGCTGGTCCGGAGGGATGCCTGGCGACGGGCGTCAAGGTGGCGGTAGGCTGAGCAAAAATTGCAACTGTACGCCACTGATGGGCTGCCCAAGTCGGCCACTTCAATTTTCTCGAGCTAGATGCATGCGTTACGCCAGGGCAGGCATGTGCACATGCGCGCCGCAGCTGGCCCTGCTCACAGCATGCACCAAGCGATGCTCTGCGGCCCACTCGTGAAGTCACTCACCCTCCTTATCCTGGATCTTGGACTTCACATTCTCGATGGTATCGCTGGACTCCACCTCAAGAGTGATGGTCTTGCCCGTGAGGGTCTTGACGAAAATCTGCATGGTGGCGACAGGCTGTGCACACCGCACAGTTGCAACGAGGCACGGAGCGTTGGGGGTGTCAGTTCAGCGTGGCAATGCAAACATATGGTGGCTGTGGCATTGTGCCGCGCGTGAAGCTAGGCTATGAGCCTGGCAGAGCAACAGCGGCAGCGAGTGCGTGTTGAGATCGACGTTGTTGGCACATGCCACGAGGAGAGCTGTGAGGCCCCCGCGACCCCCTGCAGGCCAAAAAAGGGGTGCACACAAGGCTCTGAGGGCCTGGAGTGCCGCGCAAGAGGCCCGCGGTGGCCCACGAGGGGCCTGCGCGCCAAGCCTCTCTGCAGAGCCGTGCCTCCCACGACGGGCCGTGGTGCGTGTCGGTCATCAGACAACAATATCTTGCTGCAGGCAGTCTAGCAGGGCCCTGAGGCCACGGCTGTCCGGTCCAGGCAGCCCGTGCAGTGTTGTGCACCCAAGACTCTCACCGCTCTTGATGTGCGTAGGTGATAGGATCGGTAGTTGTGTCTCGAACAACGTAAAAAGCGTGGCTCTGCAACAAATGGCCCCTGGATAAAGCATAGTGAGCCTCGCTTCACCTCAGCTTCAAGGTTCACCCCAGCTTCAAAGCGACTCACGTTTCTCCTTCCAGACCCGGCTCTGCATGGGACGCCACCTCGTGATGTGGCTTCACCACTGAGTGCTTCAAGGCAGGAACGGCGCCTGCAGCAGTGCAACGCATGGATACGTGCTTCGAATCGTTGGCCGCAGCAGCAGAGCGCGCCCGGCGCGACACCAGAAGCCCTACCAGTTCAGGACGGGTGCCCAGGAAAGTGGTCGGGGCGAAACACATTGCACGATTACGGTTTTACGTGACGATCTAGCACAGATTGGATTTCCTTTCAAGAAGGAAGCATGCAAGGCATGCAAGGCTCCCTCAAGCATGCAAGGCAATGTCCATGCGACACCTGGCGAGCGACTGTTGCGCAGAGGCTCATTGACCTGGCCATGGCGCAGTGACAAAAGGAAGCTTGTTATTACTTTGACTACTTGCCACAGCTCTTTCACTGTCTAGTTGTGTGTCTGTGCCTGAAACACTGGGGGGCGTCCAACAAGCAGCGCGTGGTTTCAGATCTGCGGTTCGCTCGCCGCATGCGTAGGGACGCCTGCCAACCCCCACACCCATGGCGCTGCTGCATCGCTCGCGAGCCTGAGGCTCAACTCCACCAGAAACTGCAGCTGAAGGACACGGTCACGGCCTTGACAAAGTGCCACCACTGCGGTGGCATGTACAGCATCTGCCCGGCTTCGAGCATGCACTCAAGGAAGGGCGCACTTGCGTACAACGGGAACCGCGCCGCATCGGGCGCGTCCGCGTCCACCTGACTGGTGTTGGTGTGCATGCCTGAGGGGTGGGGGTAGAGCACGTTCGTGTGGGCAGGGCTGAACAGGCGGACGTACTTGCGGCCCACCACCTGCGCTCACGAATGCGGGTGGGAGGGGGGCGGGCAGGTCGCGCGGTGCGCGGGGCCCGGGAGGCTGGGGGTGCCATGAGGCCTGGTCGGGGCATGCAAACAGTGCACGTGGGAGGCTGCTGGAAACAACATATCAACCCTGGCGGGCAAGCCTTCTCCATTGCAACCATGAGGGTTGTCCACAACGCACACGACGCCCAGCCGTTCCACCGGCGCCGTGCAGCCCCAGCCGCTGCCATCGCCGACGCCGCACCTGGGCGAGCAGGTTGTGGTAGGGGTCCTGGTGCAGCGGCGTCACGGTCCCGGCCGGCCCGAACCACGCGTTGACGCTGCGCAGCCCGTCCTCGCCCAGCGCGCAGTAGTCCGGCGTGCGTATGTCGGTGGCCAGCGCGGGGATCTGGTCAAACAGCTCGTGCTGCGCAAGGTAGCCGCGGCGCCGCCGCGCTCTTGCACCGCGCCCCTCCGTCGCCCCTGGCGCCAGCGCCGCCCGCGCCGCGGCGCTAGCGCAACCGCCAGTCAGGGCTGCATGGCCGGAGTCGACGACTCCCGAGCAGGGGCCGTCGGCGTGGGTTGCCACTGCGTCGGTGGTCACTGAATCGATGACGTGGGCCCGGATGAACTCTCCCAGGGTCACCAGCTGTGTGCCCCAGCTCTCTTCCAGGTAGTGCTGCCCCATCTGCAGCAGCAGGGGCCCATGCATGGCGCATGAGCATGCCGTCAAATGGGCACGTCAGGCGCGAGTAAGGTTAGGCAGCCTGTCGCCTGGCACACTGGTTTTATGCCAGCTGGTCCTGGATAATGCGGGCAATCAAGAAGCAGCAGGTGCTGCCGCCGTTGGCACTGAACTGTTGCTTGCAGGGCGGGGGTCTAGGGGCATACAGCGGGTCACAAAAGTGCCACCAAGCAGTCAAGTGGCAATCAACCGCAGCCGTTGCCGGCATGTGCGCAGGGTTGTGCCTCACCGCACCTCGACAGGCACCGTCCTGTGCCCCGCCACGCGCTCCAGGTAAGAGAGATCCTGCCAGCGAGCCAGCGCGGGCCAGTTGTCCATCACTCCTTGGATCACAACCGGGCAGCCGCCGCCTGCGACCAGGCAAGGTAGTGGGGTGAGCCACAACAAGTAGGCAAAGGGACAGCAGCTGCAGAGCACATGGGCTAGCGTGCAGGGTGCTGGGCGCGTTCTACGGCTGTCCCGCATTTGCACGGTGCAACTGTTAGCCATTCAAATGAACTCACGCGCCCTGCCGCACCTGGTGCCAGCATGTAACCTGTCATGAAGGCTTCAAGAGAGGGCGCATCAATCACGGGCACCACCAACCCAGGATTAGCCATGGCGCCCGGCGGCAGAGCCACGTGCGGCCGCGGCAGATCCCTCAGCAGCGGCAGCTGCGCCAGCCGTGTGTGGGCGCCACCGCCGTCGTCGCGTGCCCCCTGCCCGCGGCCCTGCCCTGTCTCGCCTCTCCGCTGCCGCTTGCTGCCGCGCGGCTGTTCACCCTCGGACGCCTCATCATGCAGCCGCTGCTCGTGCTCCGGCCGCTGCCGCGTGTGCTGCGCCTGCTGCGCCTGCTGGGCCTGGAGCGCTGCTAGCGCTGCCTCCATCGCTGCCACTGCCGCATCCACGACCCCGCGAAACCGAGGGCCCCCCATCATCGCTGCCAAGTCGAGCTGCCTCAGCGCCCACATCAGCGGGCTGGCCGGCGCGGTCCTGCCGCCGGCGCCGCGGCCCGTGCTTGAGGGCGCGCGGCTGCCTTGCTCCGAGCTGCCCTGTGTCGCATGGCTCGCACCGGCAGCCGCTGTGACGAGGAGGGTCGAGAGTGTGTAAGCATCCCTCCAGGCCTGCGCCAAAGGATTGGTGATTATTTGCAAGGGAATCAGGTGGTGGGGGTCAGCACATGTGCAGATGTTAGGCACAGACTGGCACCAGTGCAGATGTTGGGCACATGTTCTCTATGTGCATTCATGATGCGCAGGGCTTAAGATCTTGGGGTGTCATGCACCACAAATGAGGGGCCCACTGGCGCTAGGCGGTTCAGGGATGCAAGCGGGAGCCGTAAAAGCACTGCAGTGCCATGCGCATGCTGGCCTAGGCCGCCAGCTGCCCGTGGCTCACCACATCGACATTGGACCAGTGGCCGCTGTGCAGCTGCTCCCAGCAGACCTGCAGGTGCAGGGCAAAGTGCAGGCACAGCGCCATAAGGGCAGCTCAGCACAGGTGTGGGGGCTGTGTGGATGCCCATGCGTTGAGAGCACAGCCTATGGAAGCAGAATTTGCCCGGCTCCCTGCCACTCACGTCTTGCAGGGCCTGTGAAGGCAGTGCTAGGCCTGAGGCGTCGCCGTTTGCTAGCGCCACCAGCGAGCGGTCCAGGGTTGGCAGGCAACCACGGCCGCCGGCGGCTGCCCAGTCATCAACAAAGGCACTGTCACGGAGCTCCGGCATGCCGCTTGCGAGCAGCCGTCCTGCCAGCAGCGGGAGCAGGGCAGGAGTCGCATCATGCCCCTGCGCTGCGTCTGGGGTTTGCTGCTGCTGCTGCTGCTCCTGTTGCTGCTGCTGCTGCTGCTGCTGCTGCTGTTGCTGCTGTTGCTGCTCCTGCGGCAGCAGCTGCTGCTGCTCCTCCTCCTCCACATCGGCAAGCTGGCAGCCCGGCGCGGACGCCGCCCTGTCCGTTGGGCAGGGTGATGAAGCGCCCGGCGCACACATTGGCACACGCTGACAGTGATTGCCGCTGCTCACGTCTACAGCTTTACTAGAGCTTCAACCTGGCAGGTGATCGACACCACTCATCTCTATCTAGGCCAAAACATGAAGTACTGTATGAAGCATGCGCTGCGCCGCTCCGCCGACACCAATCCCTTTGCTGCCGCTGCAGAACACCAGGCGTGCAGCTTTCAGACAGCCCACGATCGACTACAACGCCACTACTGCTCCATCCATCCTCGATTATGCGCTTAAATACCAATGATGGGAGTCGGATCCCAATCTGATCTCCGATAGCTAAGCAAAGAATTTATAGCATCACCCACCTGGTATTTGCGGTGAACTAGAGGCACGCTCTGCTGAAAACAACAATAATCCACGTCGTCCGGCCGGTGACCCACCCCGGTGACACGCCCGCTCCAGCTGCATGCGGGGCTGCCGAGTGCAAAACGCTTGGTATGAGAGCTAGTTGTGTTCGCAACGAGATCAGGAGTTCCCGCTTCAACCCCGCATGATCTCGATCCACAATTACAAGCAAAGAGCGCGCAACAACAGCGGCACCGGCGCACTCACTGACCTGTCGGGCGCCCGTAATCGTCAGGCGCGGCTCAATCACCAGGCAGGGCAGCAGGGCAGCCAAAGGCGCCACATGGCTGCAGCTCCCGAGGCAGCGGCGGGAGGCGGCGGCGGGCTCGTGCCTGACGATGATAGCTCCGATGACGGTGGTGCGGGTTCCTCACATAGAATGCTGATGCGCCAAGGTTTCGACTATGCATGGCTGCGAAGCAGCCTTCCGTGCCTGCGCTCGCGCAGCCAGGGGCCACACCACCAGGGAAGGCCCACGACAGCCCCACCTCTCCTGTCGCCTGCAGGCGCGCCGCTTGCCGGCGCGATCACGGCTGCAGCGGCGCTGGGGGAGCCTGAGGGCTTTGATTTCTGGGTGGATGAGATCCTTTGGACTCAAGGAAAGGTGGCTGTAGAGCTGATGGAGGAGGTCTTGGAGGCCATTGGCGGCCGCCGCGTTGGCGGCCCGGCCAAACTACCCAAAGCGCTGCGCGGCGGCGGCGAGCGGCAGTCCACGCCCAGCGCGGCGCCGTCCTCGGCAGCCGACAGCGCCCGCGGCGCGGCAGACGTGGCAGCCGCGCTTGTGTTGCGGCTGGGGCTCGGCGGCGGCCGGGGAGGAACCGCCAGCGGCAGTGGCGGCGGCGTGTCCGAGGAGGCGGCGACAGCACAGGCCGGGGGCGTCAGGGAAGATGATGCGCAGCTGGGGTACAGGCACGTGCCTGAGTGGCAATTCCTCTGGACCAAGTCAATTTACGGCATCAAGGCGGCGCGCACCATGCGGCCGGGCCAGGTGGGCCCGCCGGCCGCGCGGCCCCCGCCGAGCGGCGCTCGCTGTCGCCCGCGGCACCGGCGAGCCCTGCAGCGCTGCCCTGGCGGAATATTTCCGCATGGCGACAGCGCTAGCAGCGGGCAACAATCGTGATGCAAGTCGAGGGTTGCACCCTTTGGTTTTGGGCACCGCCTGTGGGGTCGACCTTGGTAGCCACCCTTAGACATGGCACCGTCCCTTCCATCCTCAGGTTGTCAGCGCCATCGCGGGCCTCAACAGCCTGACCATGAAGAAGCGCATGATACAAACCCTGAAGACGGTGGGCGGTGCCATGGCAGCAGGCCTTCTTCCTTGGGCTGCGCGGCGGACACGAGGCACCCCGCTCGCCTGCGCCCTGCCTGACGCCGCGGCCTGCTCCAGCCCGCAGCGCTCAGTCCCTCTGCCAGGCCGGTGCTGCTAGCAGGGCCCTGTATTCAACTCTCTTCCTCCATCCCAGCACCTGACATATTCGTTGCTCCGCCCCTCCGTGCACACCGGCAGTCACTGGGCCTTGAGGCCGCCGGCCAGGTGGCTCCCGTCAGCTTCTGTCTGCCTGAGGAGCTGCCGCAGTGGCGCCAGTGGCTGCAGCAGCACCCAGAGCTTGACACAGGCAAGCTTGGGCCTGGCGGCCAGGTCGGGGCCGGCGCACGGCAGGTTTCAGTTCGTGGGACCTTGGGGTGCGCTTGCGGAGGCATCACGATCAGGGCGCTGCTTTGCACCAAAACCGCCTGGCACCCCAACTCACCGCGTGCTGCACCGCCGCAGGGTTGTGGATGCTCAAGACCGGCCAAGACGCCGGCAAGGGCCTGCGCCTGGTGCCCACCGGCAGGTGTGGCACTGCACCGGGCTGCGAGTCTGCCGTCGCGCCCTGCGCAGCTTGCCGCGGCCCCGACGCGTGGCGTCCCCGTGCCCGCGCCCTGCTGCGACGCGCCCCATACGCTCCCCTTGTGCAAACCCTCCGCCACCTCAGCCCCGCGCGCCACGCACCCGGCCGTCCCCCGTGCCCAGCGCGCTGCAGGCCGCGGCGATCCCGCCGACCCACCCGGGGCGGCCGCACACGCACCTCAAGGTGGCCCAGCTGTACGTGACCAACCCCCTGCTGCTGCACGACCGCAAGTTCCACCTGCGGCTGTGGGTGCTCGTCACGGGCCACAGGCCGCTGCGGGCCTACATGCACACGCGCGGGCTGGTGCTGTTCAGCTCGCAGCCCTACGAGCCAGGTGGGCGGGCGCGAGCATGTGGCACCAGAGGGGGGAGGAGCAGGTGGCGCCACAGCACGGCGGGCCGTGTAGGTGGACGCTGGAGCTCAGCGGGCCCAGCACGCAGTTCGGGGAACCCTCCTCTCTGGTGCTGGTGTGCGGCTGCTTTGCTGTTGGCCCTGTCCCCTCGTTGCGCTTGTGCGCGCGCGCACACAGACACACAAACAAACACAGACACACACACACACACACACTCACTCACACACGCTCGCTCGCGCACACACATGCACATGCGGCCGTTCATTTGCGACGCCCAGACCGCCCGCTGGCCGCGGGCGTGCGGCCGTCCGCCAGCCACGTCACCAACTACGCCCGCAACGAGGACACCTGGGTCTGGGGCCTCGAGCGCCTGGCCGCCCACTTCGACGAGGCCTTCGGCCCCGCCGCGTGGCCGGCCCTCTGGCGCGAGATGCGGCGCCGCGCGGCCGCCGGCGTCGCTGCCGCGCTGCCGTCGCTGCAGGCCGCGCACGCGTGGCTGCGGCCGCGGCTCGAGGGGTACGGCTTCCAGATGGTGGGGCTTGACTTCCTGATCGACGAGCGGATGGCGCCGTGGCTGCTGGAATTCAACAGCGCCCCAAGCATCATGGCGGTACACAGGGACCCGGAGGTGCATGCTCTCATCAAGGAGAACAAGGTGGCCATGCTCTCTGACGTGGCGGCCATGGTGATGCACCGGGTCGACGACGCGGCCGGGGACGGGGCGGAGGGCGGCGGCCGGCGGCCGGCGGCGCGGCCGCGGCGGCGGGTGGCGGCGGAGTGGCGGCGGGACGTGGAGCACGAGATGGCGCGGCGCGGCGGGTTTGAGCCGCTGATGGGCGCGTTCCCGTACGAGTGCGCGGGCATCCCCTGGCAGGAGGAGGACAAGCAGCTGCGCGGGCTCTGGGAGGAGCGGGGCTGGCCGTGGGCGGCGTGAGCCGGGACACCACCCCCCCCTCCCAGGCGGCTGGACGCTTGACTTCTTTACAGCAGCACTGTATGCACGCGTCGCAGGAGCGGGCGCGCTCGCTGTGTGTTGTGCGCGGGCAGCCGGCGCCAGTCCCGTCACTAACTGCAATCGGAACTGCTCGCTCGGACGCGGTGCGACACCCGCGCAAACGTTTGGTAACCTTGGTGTAACGCTGCAAATGCGTCATCAGCAGGCGGTTGGTTGTGAGACTGTCAGGGGGACGCGAGGGGAGCAACCAGTACAAGTACCGTAGGTTTCGAAAGCGATGGCGGGTCTGCTGCAGGTGCCCCCTTTGCTGCAGTCTGCGTCGTGCTGGGCGTCGCCCGGGCCAAAAACACGTTGCTGGCCTGTTTTTGTAGCAGTTTATTCTCCTTTTTCACACCCGTCTCCTCGTCTGGGGCTAGATGCCCACCGTTGCCCCGATCTCGCTGTTAGCCGTGCTGGCGGGACGCACGCAGTAGTGAAAGGACCCGTAGGCGTGAGGGTGTATATAAGTAACACTTCAAATTGCATTGGCTCTACTGAAGCGGGGAGGCTGGAGGACAAGCCGGAATGAGGCTCCACCCCGGCAGGGCTTCGGCCTTGCTGGTGCTGGCAGCCTTGTGGGCAGGTGAGGCCTCGATACAGTGAGAATTGTGATTTGCGCCGTGTGTCTGCCTTGGAGGAGCACCGCAGCGGGTCGTCACCCGCTCCGCGGCACACTGCAGTTGCGCAAAGCGGATGGGCACGGCATTCCCCTGAGGCTGCGGCACCTGGGGGCATGATGCATCGGAGTGGGTTGGTGCTAAGAGAGACCCTCCACGCATTCACAAGCAGAGGGTGCGCCTCAGCCTAGCCCAGCCCACCTGTGTCCACCCCAGCCAACTGCGAGAGCGTCGCATCGCCCCCGCCCAACCGCCACACTCACATCCCAGGACCCCTCCTGGCAGCGGGCGATGGCTGCCGCCTCACCCTCACCTTCCAGCCACCGGGCGTGACCAACGTCCCTTACTCATGGACAGCCGCCGGCCAAGCGGCTTTGAAAACACCCAACACCAAGCCGTGGGAGATGGCAAAGGTGACGCTCGCTGCAGCGCCCGCGCCGACGCTCTTCGTCAGCCCGGTGCACCCCTTTCTGGACGCCGCCGGCAGCTGCGTGGCCAAGTGCCTGCCAACGGCCGACAAGAAGGGCGCGCGCCGCCTGGCCACCGCGGAGGCGGCCGCCGGCGGCGACGACCGCGCGGCGGGCGGCGGCGCGCTCGGGCTCGAGCTGTGGGCGGCGGCGGGCGGCGGCAGCGAGGCCGGCGAGAGGGAGGGGCGCCTGCTGCTGGCGCCTGCTGGCGGGAAGCAAGACACGCAGAAGGCGGCGCCGCCGGCGTGCGCGAGCCCGACCGACCCCGGGAACTTGCTCGAGCCGGGCGTGTGGTCGCTGGCGTGGTCGCTGGACGGCGGAAAGACCAATGAGGTGGGGCCGTTCCAGGGGGCGCTGCCGGCGGCGATCAAGCTGGACAAGCTCGCGACGGCGCTCAAGGTGCGGCGGGGGGCGGTTGGCCGGGGGAGGGCGTTTGGAGCGCGCGCGGGCGGGTGGTTGGGTGCGTGGGTGGTTCATGGTGGCTGGTGCGTGGCGAGCCTGTAGCAAGGAGCTCAGATTCAAGGAGGCTATGCTGTGGGACTGGGGAGCGCGACGCTGAGTCGCAAAGCGTGGCGGCCCGCTGACGAGGTGCGGCAACACGGCGATCTGGGTTAAGAGTGGCGCCCACACGACATGGGCGCAGCGAGCACGCCAGCGGCAGCTGTCGGAGGGCCATGGCCGCCGCTTCTGCACACCCCCTCAGTCCGCGCCGCCCCTCAACCGTCAACCAACCCAACACACGACTGAAATCTACATCACCGCAGGGCGACCATTACTTGGACATTGAGATAACCATGAAGCCCGAATCGGCGTCTGTGTCCAGCGCCGGCGCCCTGCCCGCCAAGCCCCTCACCGTCAAGCGCCGCGTGCCCTTCGAGCTCGCAGACGCCGCCGACGCCCCCGACCCCTCCGGCCCCGCGGCCGGCGCCGCCGCGGGCGGCGCC